TCTCTCTCTCTCTCTCTCTCTCTCTCTCTCTCTCTCTCTTTCTCCCTCTCTCCGTCTCCCTTTCCCTATCTATCTATCTCTATCTTTATTTCTCGATCGACTGATCGATCGATGAATTGAAAGAAAGTGTGATTAATAGCGAGGAATGTCAGAAATATACGTGCAGTATGTCATAAAACGCTGGTAATGCGGTCGATGAATGTAATGAAGAGATGTCATTGGTAATGGAGTTTTTTCAAAACTCGCTCGTTTAAGATAACTTCGATTTTATGCGGTTGATGAATATGAAGGAAGTACACGAAAAAAAAAAACAATGGAGCGTATAGGTTTTAACTACGTAAATTACTAGTTATAATAAGCACCCCACTCTTTTAAGGTAACCCATACAACGCATTACTACAACAAATATAATGCAATGAACATGACTACAAATGGACGTATTGAAACATTAGCTCACATAAAGATATGGCGCGTTGTCATGTGCATCGCAAACCACAATGGAGGATAACCGGAGGTGCAAAAAAGGATGGACCGTCCACTTGGCAACAACGAATTTGATAGAGAGAGAGATGTCGGCCCTTACGCGTTTGCGAGTGAAACTTGGGGATAGCGTCGTCATAGCAAGTTCATTCAACGAAATCACAAAAGAAAAATTAACGATGACAATCGGAGATTTTAGCTTGCTAATGAAAGAAAAAAAGTGGTTGAACGACCAGATAGTGAATTTTTATCTTAACCTTGTCCGACTGGACAATGAGTGTCGTGTGAAGCACCATAATTGCGATTCAAAGAACGAAAACGTCGTTAGAAGAGGAAAGGGGCACATTCCTACAATAACAGTTTTACGCTTGTTGTTTTTTGCAAAACTATTTAATAGCGATATGAAGTTCGATTACGATCGTGTTCGTAGATGGTTCACAGAGGTCGTGATTAGCGACATGGATTTAATCATTGCACCTTATCACGTCGCGCAAAACCAACATTGGACACTCGTAGTGGCAGACCTCAGGCGTATGAAAATTGAGTACTACGATTCGCTGACGCCGACTGTAGAACTCGCGGCGAGGGTGACAGGGGGGTTCGCAAAATATCTGTACATGAGGTCGGTCGAACAAGGTCAAGAAATTGACACGAAAAACTTCAACCACATATGGGAAGTGGAAGGCATTCCAAAGCAGCGTGACTTCAACGAATACGGTGTGTTTATGCTGACATATGCATCACTATTGCCGAGAGGGTTTCTTCCACCTTTCACGTTCACATTAGATGACACAAAGAAAATACGATGCCGGATAGCTTTCGACGTAGCTGTTGTGGAGTAGACGATTTTGTTTCATTTTCAGTATAGATGTTTAAACACATGAAATGAACATGTACTGATCAAGAATTAGATCTGATAAAGCTGGGGAAGAGTTTGTAAGTGTAACGAGGATTAAGTATGCGGTTCACGATGAATGTAACTGGTCATGCAATAAGGACATCTTATGAAAGGTCATCTTATCTCTTATATTCGAGGCTCCTCTAGTCCTTACCTCTCACCCTTCACCCCTTACCCCTTGCCCTTTACCCCTCACCCCCCCCTGCCCTTACCCCCCTTACCCCTTACCCCTTACCCCTTACCCTTACC